TCAAAATTTTTAAAGGCGACAGTTCTACAAAATACACCAAATAAGTGACGTGAGATGCAGCAGCCGCATAAGTAAACAGTGACAATGGGGGAGGATTAGCTTCCCTCCCTCATGGATTATAGCTAAAGTAAGCTCTCTGGGTGACCTGAAGATGTCAAGTCAGCATACGTGACATGAGACAGCAGCGTACTGAAGGTACCACAGCATGAGAAAACGGACCCCAGCTCTCAGTGTTGAGATGCTTTCAGCTTCCCTTTTCTTCTTTGCTTTCATGTCAAGGAAGAAAGACGCTGAATCATATTTCTTGGTGTTGCCAGATAATTTGAGGCCATGTTTCATTTGTCATTGATCAAAGTGATCAAGAGTACCGAGACAACTCACCGTCTTTAATCCACAATGCTAGGTACAGTTTACCACACCATTTCCTCTGTGAAAACAGTTCCTCTAAAGATGAGCTATTAGCATTGTGTTGCTAAATGTGGATGATGAAAATAGTACCTGTCATGGTGCAAGTCATACAGCTCTTTAAGACAGGACACGCTCTGTGCTCCAAGGCTGCGCCTCTGCTCTGCCAGCTCTCTCTTATTTCGCTCTGCTTCTGCAGTCTTTAGTTCCCCGACTTGGGCCTGCAGGTCCTCCATGAGGGTCTGAAGCGCTTCGATGGTCTCAGTTAAACTGAAGGAAAACAAAAAAACAAAACAAAAAACCAAACACCCGACAACATGTTAATGTGGTATATTTTTTTTATTGGAAGCTGACTGGGTGGATAATTATTTAAAACACAATTTGAAAGGGTAATTCACAAATAACTGGTAGACTGACTTTTGGATCTTGTGTTGGGCCATGCGGTTGTCCTGCACCAGCCTCTGATTGCCTTGCTCCAGATCCCTGGCGGCCGTGTCTAGCTGCTCATACACTTTGGCATGCTGGTCATTCATCTGACGCAGCAGCTCCACTTGCTTGGTTAAGTACTGGTATAGAAGAGAGGGAAAAAAAATATATA